TGAATGGCGGTTCATGCAGGGAAAGAACATATCAATATTCGCATATTCATTGAAAAACATGAAAATTCTTAATGGAGTACCCTCATTTTTTATTGAATTCCTAAAAAAAAATATTTATAATGAATTTTAATAATTTTTTTGAATTTTTTTTAAGCTTTATTCTGACCGATTCACCCGATTCCCGATCTGGATCGCCGATTCGCCGATCCGGATCGGTTTTTTGGAAGCCCGATCCGGTTCACCGATCCGTTTTTTAAACCATTGGCCTAATGGATTTAACCTTTATGAGTATATTCTTGTCGTAAGGCTTTTCACACTTGTGCGATTATATATCTCATGACCCAGAAATCATCTAAAATCTTGTCATGAGGTTTTTCATACTAATGGGGTTTTTCCTCTCATGACCAAGAAAAAAAAAGAAGTCCCTTTTGAGAGTTCCTGACTTAGATGTTCGTCAGTCCCATCAAAGTTACATGCATTAACAATATTTCAGCACTTAATCCCTTTGTCAAAGGGTTTGCAATCATATTAGCTGATAGTAAATAACTCACTATTATTTCATTCTTTTAAATAATATTGTAAATATAATGATAATCAATTTCAATGCGCTTGTCTTTGGAACTATTAACTCAATTTCTAATTGATGAGATGACATATTGATTATCAAAAACCATTTTAATTGGTCTATCGGCTATATCCACCTTCAAATCCGTTATGAAATGTCCAATCTAGATGATATATGTTGTAGCAATGCAACAAGCAATATACTTGCATTCCGTAGTATACCGAGCTATATAACTTTGTTTCTTATTTTACTAAAAAACACATCCACCTCCAAAAGAATACATGTCCTGAGGCTGATTTTATATCATCTGGGTCTCCTGTAAAGTTTGCATCAGAGTACCCAGTAACCGCAAAATCATCAGCTTGGAAGTATAATTTGTAGTTTTCAGTTTTATGAGTATACATGAGTATATTTTTTACGGATGACTTGCTAACATCCCAGGATTACTCTAAAATTTACTTACAAGATCATATGTATGATTCAAATCAAATTTTGTACATTAAATAAACAATATTGGCAGTTAATAATGTGGTGTCAAAAGTATTTCACGGAGGAGCACATAGAAAGTGCAATTTGGGGGTTTCGGTAATCCCCCCACCCTAAACAAAAAAACAAACAAGGAAAGGGCGTAAGGGTCAAGAAATTTTGACCGGGTCCTTGGTATGGATCCAGAAAGTGCTGCATCGTACTTGGGGAGGAAGGTGGCAGCCACATGATTTAGCCTTAAATAATTGTATAGATGAGTGTTATGAGCAATTTAACACTGATGAATGTATCAAACTCCAAAACACGCTCAAGATTGACCCAAGGCATGGACGTGCGCTTGTCGTGGGTTAGATGGCGCTGCGCCCACAAACCAAGTGCTAGAAATTAGTAAGTATAGACCTCATGGTGGTCCTCTCTTTCTCTATGTATATAAAGAGGGGAGGAAATGTTTGATTTTTTATCATATTGGTGATCCTCCTCTTCTTCTATAGAAAGAGCTCTTCTTCTCTATAGTAGAAGGGAGGAAACACCAATTGAAAGTAGAGGACATGGCAGCATATTGGTCTGGGCCGCTCCTACTGCTGGGGTTGTTGATCCTGCAAAGCCCATCATGGGCGGTGGAGGGGGGCGATGCACCTCCTGCAGTCTTCTTCTTTGGAGACTCAATCTTGGATGTAGGTAACAACAACTACCTCAATACGAAGGCCAAGTGTAATATGGCTCCTTACGGTGTGGACTTCCCTGGCGGGAAGCCTACAGGAAGGTTTAGCAATGGCCTCAACATTGCAGACTTCTTAGGCATGCACTCTCAACCCTACTCTTCTCTCTCCCTTCCCATCTTTCTCTTCTTTTTGGTAGTTCAGCTGTAGGAATTGAGCTTAAGCTTTGAATGGTTAGCAGCTGACATCTATCGGTAATATACTCGCTTTCCAGTAACAAGTCATGAAATTGAATCTTTCCTATAACATCTCATGGATCATGTCCATGTGGTTTTTGCTTCCTCCCTACAACATATGATTATGTTTTATTGATCTCCTTCAACTAATTTGCTCTATCTTCCCCAAGTGGTAAGAGTCAGAAAGATGACTTCTCCTTTGGATAGTACGAGACAATGAGTATTCAAATTGAGTCATGGTGGTGCAAGTGTTAGTACTTTCACCATTGAAGCCTAACCTAGAAACATGCTCAAAGGGTAGGGTAACTCGGTTTGGTATTGAGGTATTTATTACTTCACCGTTCTCAAACCAATCATTTGTCTTTTTTTTTTTTGGGTAGTTCAATGATAGAAATTGAATTCAAGATGTAACTTTGCCTGATGTACTTAATGATTCTTCTCTGCTCAAAAGCCTATGTGGGTGTAGACTCAACCTCAAGCCCAATAGTAAGACAAAGACCAAATGACCACCCAAAAAAAACAAAGAAATTCTTAACCTCCTCCTATCCAGAAGAATGATGATAAGTTTACCATACAGTTGAGCCTCTAGGTGCGTAGTAATATAAAGTAATATTTACTCAATATAGTGGTAGTAATGTAAGGACATAACGGCCATTAGCTTTGACAAAGAGCGTTCAACTTTTCAAAATAATAACGGTCATACGATAAATATGAATGTGTTTTGAAGCGTTGGCAAAGTCGGCCAAAGTAGCTTCAAGTTTCAACTCGACCAAGGACCAAGTCACTCGAGCTTGGGCCCTTGCCGAGCTGAGTTGTCCGAAGTTGAAGGTCAAATTTGGGGATCTTAAAAAAATATTAAAAATGAGAAATATATTTGCTAAATACTTATTTATATTTTTTATCACTTTGGCAAAGATTGAAAAGTATTTTAGCCATGAATACTTAGTTTCATATTGAGAAATTTACGTTATAACGGAGTGGCCTAAAAATAGGCCGTTATTAACTGGAAGAATAGATTCCTTAATTTTTTTGCTACATTTGCTCCCGGTCCGATTTTTCAAAAATCAGATTGCTTTATTTGCAGCCTCAAAAACTTTGCCCTCTTCTTTCTCTGTCTCCTCTCTTCAGTCTCACCTCCTCTCGGCCATCTCTCCATTATAATGGGGGAATTTATGTTCAAATTGTAGAAAAGGAAAAGAATTTGAGCAGTAGTTGAGAGCTAAAATAGAAAAACAAATAAAAAGTTGAGAAGAATATGTTGAAGTATTGTATGGAATGCTCAAATTGGTTTATCACCCATCAATCCTTTTTTTTCAGCTATGCAGGTGGGATTGAAGGAGAGCCCACCAGCTTTTCTCTCCCTCTCAGGGCAGAACTTCCAAAAGGGTCCCTTCAGTGGTGTCAATTTTGCTTCGGGAGGATCGGGCATTCTCGACAAAACCGGCAGCAACTTTGTATGCACCATGCAATAAGATTTTTATGCATTTGTTTTATAGGAAAAACTACACAAAAAAACTATTTCCTTTTGGTACAAGATCACATTTATATTTAACCATTAGACATAAAATTAGGTGGTTGAGAGTGTGTTGTTGATAGAGCTCAAAGTCTTGTATATTATTGCAGACCTCCACGCACTAGATCTGACGTAACTAGGGATGACAATTACCTTCTAGAATATAAAGGAAACTGTCTTATAATGTAAGGCCTTTCTTATACTATTTGTCAGGAAAACAAATTCTAGGACATCATGACACCATACCCTATGGTTAGGGCGACTAGAGTTTACAATGGCATTCTTTTACTCTGTCTTAATGTTGCTTCTCTCAATTTGTATTATCCTCGTTATGCATGCTTTTAGGGGCAAAATCTACCGTTGAGCGTACAGATCTCCCACTTCAACAAAGTCTACAACGACTTCAGAATCGAAGTAGGTGAAGCTCATGCCCGAGCAGTGTTGGCTGAGTCTCTCATCTTCATAAGCGTCGGAGGCAATGACATCGTTCAGAACTTTAATCCCTCAACCCAAATGGACCAGCTGGTCGCGAATCTTGCTGTAACCTACAAGGCACATTTACAGGTGAACAAAAATCATCATCATCATCTTTATCTTCATCTTCTTCTTCGCTAATCTGACTAATTGGAGTGGATTTTTAGAAACTTTATAGCATCGGTGCAAGGAAGTTTGGGATATTGGGTCTGTCAAAGACTGGGTGTATCCCAGTGCTGCGAGCGCAGAGCAAGACTGGAGGCTGCATTGAGGAACTGAATTACGTGTCCCAAAGGTTCGACAATCAAGTGGAAAATATGTTGCGACAGCTTTCCTCAGAGCTGAGGGGAATGAAGTACTCGCTTTTTGTTGGGACTCACCTACCTGAAGTTGGTAAGCCATTGTTCTGCCCATTTCTCTTTTGACATCAGAAATTCACAAAACCAGTTTCGGGGTTCCGGGCACCTGCTGGATATTTTTTCTTTTTTAATGGCCCACAATGTCTTTGTCAGTGTACAGAAAAGGATCTTGGCCAATGTACTCGGCCTTTGGTCGAGCTGAGTAACTTGGTCGAGTCTAGCATATGGCAAAAAATAAACCATTTTTTGCAAAAAAAAAACGACAAACAAGTAGTAAAAGTAAATTGAAACCTAAAACAACTTGAAAAAGTTAAAACAAGCTTAAAAATGTAGTGAAAAATGGATTTGAAAGAACAACCTAACTTACAGTTTGGGATATTTTAAAAAAAAAATTTAAAAGTGGAAAATATAAAACTAGTGATTATGGCAAAAAACACTCACTTACCTTTACCAAAAACATCCAAATTATAAAAGATTGGAAGATAATCCATCATTTTTTTATAATTTTTGAAGATTTTTTAAATTTTTTATATCCCCGAGTTCTGAAATTCAACTCGAGGAAATTCGGCATCGTCCCATGCCCGTAGTGCAAGACCGAGTTCGCCACCTGAGTTAAAGTGGAGTCAGACAAGTCACGGTACATTGGTCTTTGAAACTTACGCTTCTAGGGTTTGCTCGGTGCGGCCACTCATGTGATGCATCTGAAAATACTATGAAATGACATGGTTTGGGCTCCGGATTTGCCCCATGCCTATGTGAGGTAAGTTGGCTGCGTCAATCCAAGTGAACTCAGACGAGTCAATTAGGAACCAAGAAAATACAAAGATCTCAAGATAAAAAGATTAATGAAAATCAAAAGAAGTTGTAAAAATATTAACAGTTTACAAAAGATGGAAAGAAGCATATAGAAGATGAATGTGGAAAGTTGATTTATTCAGAAAATTTGAAATAAAGAAAATACAAAAATAGTGCATATAATAAAAAATTTATAAATAACCATCGATAACATAAAATTTTCTTATAAATATATTTATACATCATTTATTAGTGATTTAGTAATGAAACGTATAGGTTTCTTTTTAAAGTTTTCTATATACTTTGAGTTTGTATATTAAACTCGCCTTAGAAAGGTACTGAGGTCGAGTAACTCAGCCAAGTTGACTCACATAGGCCGAGTATTCGGTCGCTGATTAACACTGTATATATTCTTTTAGAATCACCAGATGAGTATTTCTAGAAAAAGAAATTGAGTTTTAGTTCCTAAACCCTTAGATTTGAGAATCTATCAGGGGGAGGAAATAAAATATATGCTCATGAGTTAGCATGGAATCTTTTGGCATGTCTAAGACCAAGAACCTGAGGTCAAACCAGGGCATGGCATCATCTATCTAATACCCACCACACCCTCCCCCTCTTTCACACATGCACAGTGCACACACACACAAGCATTCTTTGATCACTTTCAAGAAGAAATTAGAATGGAAATGGAGGATTAATAAGTAGATTTGTGTTTGATGTTGGAATATAAAAATGATCTATTTATTTTTCATAGAAGGTGGCCACAATCACTCTTGTCGATTAGATTTCAATTGGGTGGTTATGAGTGATCATTGACTAAACTCAAAATTCAAAAAAAAATTCTTAAATTTTGTGACACGTTCTAAGCCATCTAATTTGGGCCATTAGCAATTGCGACCTTGTAATAAAGATAGACATGGTCTCCTGGTATACAATCCCTATACTTGATTGAGCCAGCTTTTTACGTGTCCTAGGGTTCGCTGAAATGAAGACTGCTTGCTGCGGATCGGGCAAATTCAACGGCGAGGTCCCTTGCAATCCGAAAGCTAGTTTATGTGCCATGCGCAACGACTACTATTATTGGGACACCTTCCACCCAACGCAGGCAACGTCAAAACTGGTGGTGGACCTTATGTACAACGGCTCCCCACAATACGTTGTTCCCATCAACTTCAAGCAATTATGGAGGTCTTAGAGAGAGAGAGTGAGAGAGTTATGACGAATGCTTTGTTTTGTCATGAGTACCGATCTTTCAAATTAGTTTTTGTGGATGAAGTTCCAACAATCTTATCAGAGGAACTGGCTTTTTGTTTGTCATGATCATCCCCGTGTGTTTTTGTTTCCTGCCTTTATAAATGGATCATCAGTTGGTTTTCCTCTTTTCCTTGCTTTTCTTTTTTTCTTTTATGAATGAATAGCAAGGTGGTTTTTGGGAACTAGAAAAGTAGTATTTGCTTTTTTTTTTTTTACGGCTAACATTAAATTTCATTAGATTGTGGAGTAAAGCTCCATAGTAGTTGTAAAATAGTGCAAGCAGAAGAAATAGAGAGGAACACTCCCTATATCCAAGACTGACTTGTTCTAGCTCCCAACACACAACAATTCCAAACATTGTTCGTATTTTGGTTTTGAAAAATACTTAGTATGTATTTCAAAATAACAATATAAATTTTATGGTTTTTTTTAAGCTGTATTTTGTAGAGAAATAAAACAGTGGGTTTTAAATCCCCACATTGAAGAGGAGAGTAAATTGAATAATATTTAAGTGTAGACATTCTTATGCCTTATGCTCTTAAAACAAAGGAGAGAATGATGATGCATGTGCGGAATACGCAAAGTGTACGATGTACACTCAAAGTGTGCATGCGAGGGCATGGGCGCTTGATGGCACACTTTGCACTTCGCATCGGTGCCCCTCGTGGGAGCACATGTACGGCCTCAAGGGTAGATATCGTTTTGTGAGCCCGACTCGCAGTTGATGAAATGGAGGCTTGTAATAGTAGCCATCAAGTGCATATAACTTGTGACTGTTTGTGGTGCATGTAACCACTACTACAGTAAATTCTTTAACAGGCTTTGGCAACTTTCTCAATACACCTTTCTCTGTGAAATTCCAGTGAGCATAACATAGCTCTCATCTCTCTCTCTACTTGCTTTTCTCTCTTTCTATCTCTATATCATTATAAGACTCTGGTGTCTAGCGTGTGGATTTCAAGCTAGGGTGCATAGAGCTTTGGAGAAATAAAGAGACCTCTCTATTTTCCTGTATTATGAGGACGAGTTTTGGTTTGTGTTTTTAGAATACAGAGATACAAGTGATATACTAGTAAATGAAAAAACCAAGTTGCAGTGAATTTCAAAAGAATGCAGTGAAATTTAACCCTAAAGATGTTTATTTCTAATATAATAATGAGAGGAGAAAAAAAAATGATAATGGGTACCTGTTATTCCTTCTTCCAAAGAGACAATAACAAAGAAATAAAGAATACGAGAAGATAACTCATTGCTCAGGGCACATAGGGATGCAGAGAGGAAAATTACAGTAGCACCAAGATTGTTGACAACAACACCGCTTTGACACCAATGTTGGGAAAAGAAGGAGATGAATTTGCCCAAGATCCTAGATATTGATGGGCAATATCACTAAACTTGTATATTGCAGAGGACCTAGGGTTTCTTTAGAACAGCTGAGAAATGTTTTCTTTTTCTTGCGTTTTTCCATGCCACGAAACCCTACTTTATAGAGATGGGAGGAGGCCGTTATGCAATGTTTGCCTTTTCTTCCTGAAATCCCTGAAAAGTAGCCCTCAATATCTTGGAGACATGAGAGTTATCCACCATCCGTTAGAAAAATGGGTTTTTCTCTCTAAAAAACCTTTTAAAAATAAATAATAATTAATACATTATCTATTTAATAAAAATATTAATTAGATAAATAAAGAAGAGTAATATATTATGAGACCCTCCCACACCAATGTGAATATGACCCCAAAGGATCACTACTAAATTTTGACGCAGATCTCTAGAAGAGATTTAAATTCACTGGGAGACCTTCTCAACACCGAATTGCTTGGTCGTAACTCTTTCTCTACTTGTGCCTCTCTCTCTCTCTCTATTACTTTACCTTTTAATTTATAACTCTCTCTCTATCCCGTGCCTCTCTCTCCATTTCCCCTAAAGAGGAAGCAAAAGGGAAGTAGCTTCTCTTACAAATATTTTCTCACTCTAACTGCCACGTACTTTACTAATCTCTCCATTGCCTTTGCTCTTGTCTCCCCAAATCTCTCAGTATTGTGGTTGTGCTTTGTGATGCTTGTGCTTCATGATGCATTTGCAAAGAAGCAGATAATACGTATATTAGCTTTGTGCTTCCTAATGCATTGATGCCAAAAGTGTTTTCTTCAACATCGATTCATGGTGCGAATGGGCAATAGGGCATGTTTACTGTTGTTTCCCTACAATTTGATAGTGGTTTTTGTATGCATTTTCTTGCAATTTTCAGTGAGGCATTGATACCTTGTTTTCTAAAATTACAGGCAAGGGTTATTGTGCTGAAATGAATTGAGATAATGGCCAAAACTTAAGTCTAGGTACATCTAAATGGCAAGGTCCTAAGCCCTAATTTTATATTCAATAACCCTCATTTTGAAGTAGCTTTCTCAAATAGGTACTTTCTCCTTCTAAGATGCCACTTATTGGGAAATGACCATATCACCGGATTATAGGCACCCATATATTTGAATATGTGTAGCTATTTTTTGACCTTACCTCTGAATTTGACTCTTCAAGTTATTTTATATTTAGTTTTGGAATATGGTACTTCCCTTGACATTCTTTAGGACTTTATTTTCCATCTTATTTTTCTTCATTTACATATCTCTTGTAGAAAGCTCGTGCAATTATGTTGGAGTTGCAATATGTTGCAATTTCTCAAATAAATTGTGATATGACCACCACCCAAAAAGATAATAATCAATAATGTAATAAACTACTTATTTATTATTGTTTTTTGTTTGATTTCTCCAAGGTGCACACCAATCTTTCCATCAAAAGAAAAACAAAAGGTACTGATCTTCGAAGAATTCAATTTTGTATAACATATTTAGTTTACTGAATTCTTCGAACAATTCATGTGAAAGCCTATCTGTAATAGCTGTTTTTTTGTATGTGACATTGAACATGCTTTATAGGTGAGTGTGGTCTCTCTTAAAAAATAGTTCAATTAAAAGATTTATCCTAGCTGCAAGTTGAAATTAAAATTGTAAATACCTTGGATCATGCCTTAACTAATAAAGGAACCTATTTGGGTATTGTTGAATGCAAAGCACTATAGCCCATTACTTATTGGACTTATTTCTAGATAATCCAAATTGGCATGCTAATACATGAGCCCTTTATATTTAGGTCAGAGTTTTGGATTGTCTAATTATTGCATATGTGATTTTTATTCCATTGTTTTATTGTTGACACGAGAGACCGATTCAAATGTTTGGTTCCATTGTTTTTATATTGTTTTTACATTGTTTTATAAGGGATTGTTTTACATATGTTATTTTTATTCCATTGTTTTACACGGGATAGAGAAGGCCCTGAATGTTGACAATTTTGTTCAATTGTATAGAACAGCCAATTGAACTTTTATGTCCCATATTGAGTGTAAAAATGTGAATTGTATAGAACTTCTTTTTACATTATGTTGGTACTGTGAAACATTAGTGAATCAATTATTGGAGAATTTGTATTTAACTTTTGATTATCTAACTTTGTAAACTTTTTTGTTATCTAATGAGATGTAATGTTATGGATATGATGTAATACATGTCGCATACGTAGAGAGAGAGAGAGAAAATGAGAGCAAGAGAAAAAAAAACCATAATTTGACCTATAAAAATACCAGAAAATTTGGTCCTAACTGTATTTTTGTAGCTTTGTTTTTTTCTATACCAGGTTTCAAATTGCCTACTAGGCTTATGAAGCAGTTCATGTGCCCCAATCTAAAAAAAAAAGGATAAATCAAAAGTTCAGTGTAATAGGGGAAGCAAGCCCATAAAAGGCCCCCCCCATCACTAGCCTTTCAAGAGAAAGATCAAAGGTTCAGTGTTAAGCAAGTTCCCTCGTCGCTAACCTTTTAAAGAAAATCTGACGGATTGGGAATGAAGTTTCCAAGCAAGTCCCCCGACTGCCAGACATATCTGGATTATGATAATATTGGGATTATCAAGCCCTTAAGCAAGGCTCCCAGTTGTTGGAACAAAAAATACCATTGGATTGAGATCAAGCCCCAAAGGCACCCACCAGTTGGCTCATTAGGAAGTATTGTTGAGTTGGGAAAGTAAGCCCTTCCACAAGGCACCCGGTCGGCATACTCCCCAGAAAATGGATTCTAGCAGTATTGGGTTTATGAAGCCCTTAGAAGGCTCCAAATCATTAGAATCCACTTTGGTCATCCCTTAGGAAAAAAGCTTGGCATGATCTCCCCCTCAAGGATCGTGTTGATGCCGATGATCAAGAAGAAAAATATTGTTGAGGGATAATAGCAACGCCTTAGTAAAGACTTGAAAGATGAGCTTTGATGAGGTTTTATTCCGAATGTTATACTTCTTGCTTTTCTTGAAGAGTAGCATTCGGAGGGCCAGTTGTTATACGTCATTTTTAATGTGCTTTTATCCTCAGGGTGAATAAGGAAAGAGCCGGTAGTAACCAGGTCCCACCGATACTCAAGACATCGCCAGACCATGGGAATACTGTAGCAATAAGCCTAAAATTGGGTGACCTTCAAAGAAGTGCCAGAATGACTTCAAATTACATGAGAGAGTATTTTTTGATACCCTAAAGACACCCATAAAGTTTGATCGCGTTCTGAAAAGTTTTGATATGATCAAGAAAAAAACTTGGTTTCCAAATCTAGTTCATATTATGCTGAAAATAATATCAGACCACTATAGCCCTATTTTTTAGGTCTCAAAATAACATCAGACCACTGCCATTGGATCTGAAACATCGAAAAAACCCCAAGTACCAAATTTCGACTCAATCAGATCCTCCAAGACTATTATGAGCTTAACTTACAATAAAGGGGTTTTATACTATTGTGTTGCATCCTTAATAAATCTAAATGGAAACTGTGTTTCTCATTTCAAGTTGATTTTCAAATGCTCATAACTTGCTCATTTTGAGTACAATTAAGCTCAAATTCGAACACGAGCTAGATCTCAACGACTTGCTCGTTTTGACATATGACACGCATCATGGCGTTGCCCGAAACGAGAGAATTTATAGAGAGAAAATGGGCTAGAAATATGAAAATTTAGATTTTAAAAAGAAGAACATCCAATTCTTTGGGAGGTCATAGCTCAAGATCCTGATATTAGATCGTCGCAAG